ATTTAATCAGCTGTATTCTTCGATATTTGAAATAAAAATGGTCACGTGTAAAGATATTACTTTCATTTGTGTTCTTTGTTTTAAAAGGCTGATAATTTCTTTTGAAATATAAGACCGGTTTTTCAATGAAAATGAAATCTGAGATAGTTTGGTGGTAACGGTGAGTGACTGATGAGTAAGATTGTATTAAATAACCTGAAAGCAATTTTTAAGTCCACTGTTTATCAAATCCATTTTTAAATCCATTTTTAATTACCGACGACGAACTTGAACAGAGTAAAAGGGGTATAAGTAACATAAGAAACTAAAGTGAAGAAATTATGTTTTTCGTCTAAAACGAAACGCGGCGAAAAGGCTTAAAATTATTACGGTAAATTATTTTTCGAAGTGATATCCTTTCGCTTTTTTTTCTTTTTTTTTTATTACAGAAACGTCGAGAGATTCCTAGTTTATTAAAAAAACTGCTTAATTGTACTTTATCGCCATTTTACTTCAATTTCGACTGAAATGCGAAACTGTTTGCTTAAGAATCGTGATGTACGAAGAAAGGACAAACAAAGGACAAATTGAAGTATTACCCATTTTAACCTAAGTACACTTACATTTCGTTTCATTTATTTTTTTCTCAGAGACTGGTCCGCCGACATTAATCTCGAAAAAGATGTTGATCCACGTAAGCTTCCTTGTGATATTCATGTTAAGCTGGATCGAGCCTGCACGCGAACAAGCTGTTCATCCGTTTCTTTACTTTTCATCCCAAGATGTCCATCGTTTACGAGAGAAAGCCAAAACGACCCATCGCGATATATTTGTTCGCTTGAGAACAGCAGCGCGTAGAATGAAAGCTGAACCATCGCGCTTTCTTCCACCAACCAACTGGGGCGTGTTTGACAGTAGATGGAACGAAGATCATGGCAATAACTTTGCGGCCTTAGCCATGTACTGTGTTTTAAACCCCACGGACGTCCGAGCAAGGAACTTAGCAATGCAGTTCTTTAATGCATTTGTCTCTTTGCCTAACTGGCGTGTCAGTGCTTTAATAAGGGATGACGTCCCTGTGGCACACAGCTTGGTTGCTATGGCAACCGCTTACGATTTTCTTTTCGAACACATTGATCGCCTGAACACATTTTAAAATATTTTAAGAGGTCACTCGGGCGATAGACTGATCACGATAAGTTTATTTGTAATATAAACCAAATGTTTCTATACATGAAAAGTGCCTCAAATGGGTTTGTTTGGTAAATCTGGAGCTGCCCTAAAACATGCAAGGCCAAGTAAAGAAAAAAAAATGTTTCTCGTCCCGATTTCTATAAAAAAGAGAGCGGACGGGAGCTTTTTTGTTGTTGTTATTTCCGACCTTTTAATATTTCCAATTGAATTTTTTCTTTACACATTACTACCCTCCCCCAGCTAGGGATAACTTGGAGTTCTTGGGTCAAATAATAATAAAATGAAATGTCAGATACTGATTTAACACAAGTTTGTTCTATTTTGGTACATGATTTAAACAACAACGTGATGCATCATACGATATATCGCAATAGGAAGGGTGCATTAAAAATGTCAATAGGACTATGATTTAGCCTGCCTGAAAGTTCTCGCGTTTTCTTCTTTGGCTTGTATCCCCTTTTGTACCATACACTGCAGAATGGGTAGCAGTCCTGTTGGTTTTTGTTCGTACAAACTAATAACAAATAATAAAAAGGAGCTCGAGAGGCGGCTTACAAAAAGTGAAGCGGGCGGGGACGAGAAATTTATATATTTTTTTACTTGGTCTAAAGACCATTCACCTGCTCGGTTGTCTTAGGGGAAGTTTAGTCGTTCTTTAGAAGTTCAGGGAAAGAAAAAGAAGTCGTTGTCTTGCGTTCACGTCCTCCACAGGACGTGAAATTATTTTCACGTTGTAGTCGTGCAGTGACGGCAAAGAAATGTACAAAAAAGCGTGATGCACGTGCAAAGTTCATTTTTTGACGTTTTGCCAATCAAAACCTATTGATTGTTTGCGTTCTCGTTGACGTCGCCGTCGTCGTTGCTTAAGCTCCCTAATTTGTGTCGCAAAACGCCGGCGAAGATACAAGTGTCGGTCCTCATCGTGACAAAAATGGCTGCTTTGCTGAAGTTTTATTACACTCTTCTAAACATCTAAGGAAAAACTACAAGTACCTAAAGATGTTTCATTTTGAGGGATCACAGAAAAGGATTTCATATTTGCGCACAACGTTTAAAAACATACATATACACATAGACGTTTAAAGCTTTAACGGCTTGTTTATAGTGGAAAGTGCACTTAGCTTATCCAGCTAGTTTACAGGCACGCTACCCAAATACTAGGATTAAAAACCCCAACTGGAGGGAGGCAACCAGTTGGCTATTTACAATATAGTTGTGTACATCGACTTAATACAGATAAAAAGGGGACATGCCCCTTTGTCCGTATCACCTAGGTGTCCGTATTAAGCCCTTTTTTTATAGAAAAAATATGAGCTTTTTGTTGGAACAAACACGTATTAAACGGGTGTCCATGGAGCGGGGTCCACTGAATTTTTATTTGATCAGGCGCCTGGTAGGATCAATATTCCGGAAGTGCAGAGGTACTTTTCAAAAAACCGCTTGTTGAAACTAGGGGTACAAGGCCAGCATAAATTTTTAACTTTAACAGCTTTTATTGAAAAAAGAAAAAAAAAAGGAAACGAAGAAAAACAGAAAGATAAACAGATTTCAGCTCCTAGAAGCAAAGCAGAAAGAAATTAAATTCAAAACCGTCCTGAAAAGGCATAACATTATAATAGATTTTACTAACATCCGAAGTTGGTGAAATTTGAAGGTTTTGTGTTTGAGTCTCTCTAGTGTGCAAATATTTCCTTTTTCCACATTTATAGCTTTTTCTTCCTATTTACAAATAACAAAATCTAGCTTGGAGCAGGGCGAACAGAGAAATGTTTAATTCATTAAACTAGCAAAGCTTTTTTGTGAAATTTGAAATTGCAAATTTTAAGTGGCATTTGTGTAATGAGATATAAATGGGGGATTCGTTAGTAATGATGTTGTGTCCTTTCGGAACGGTTTTGAGTTGTTTCATTTCCGTCGGCTCTGCTTCTTGGAGCTGCAATATGTTTATTTTTCCTGTCACGATTAAATGCGAGTCGCAGTTGTTTAGTAAAGTCGAACAAATCTGTAAGAATTGGATACAGTACTAAACTAGTACGGGCTGGATAAGAGCTGTTTCAATCTCACTCACATGGCTTACGTGTGATCAGGCTCTAAAGGTGATATGCTTTTGGCTATTTTCATTTACTGACCCCAACTGACACACAAACGATGACATAAACGTTGACATTAACTGAAAAGGAGTCACTTAGGAGAAGGCCTTCGAATGTGTCTATATTTAATCAGCTGTATTCTTCGATATTTGAAATAAAAATGGTCACGTGTAAAGATATTACTTTCATTTGTGTCCTTTGTTTCAAAAGGCTGATAATTTCTTTTGAAATATAAGACCGGTTTTTCAATGAAAATGAAATCTGAGATAGTTTGGTGGTAACGGTGAGTGACTGATGAGTAAGATTGTACTCAATTACCTTAAGGAAAGCAATCTTTTAGTCCACTGTTTATCAAATCCATTTTTAAATTCATTTTTAATTACCGACGACGAACTTGAACAGCGTAAAAGAGGTATAAGTAATATAAGAAACTAAAGTGAAGAAATTATGTTTTTCGTCTAAAACGAAACGCGGCGAAAAGGCTTAAAATTATTACGGTAAATTATTTTTCGAAGTGATATCCTTTCGCTTTTTTCTTTCTTGTTTTTATTTTTATTACAAGAAGGTCGAGAGATTCCTAGTTTATTAAAAAAAACTGCTTAATTGTACTTTATCGCCATGTTACTTCAATTCTGACTGAAATGCGAAACTGTTTGCTTAAAAATCGTGATGTACGAAGTAAGGACAAACAAAGGACAAACTGAAGTATTACCCATTTTAACTTGAGTACGCTTACATTTCGTCTCATTTATTATTTTTTTTCAGAGACTGGTCCGCCGACATTAAACTCGAAAAAAATGTTGATCCACGTAAGCTTCCTTGTGATATTCATGTTAAGCTGGATCAAGCCTGCACACGAACAAGCTGTTCATCCGTTTCTGTACTTTTCATCCCAAGATGTCCATCGTTTACGAGAGAAAGCCAAAACGACCCATCGCGATATATTTGTTCGCTTGAGAACAGCAGCGCGTAGAATGAAAGCTGAACCATCGCGCTTTCTTCCTCCAACCAACTGGAGCGTGTTTGCCAGTAGATGGAACGAAGATCACGGCAATAACTTTGCAGCCTTAGCCATGTACTGTGTTTTAAACCCCACGGACGTCCGAGCAAGGAATGTAGCAACGCAGTTCTTTAACGCGTTTGTCTCTTTGCCTAACTGGCGTGTCAGTGCTTTAATAAGGGATGACGTCCCTGTGGCACACAGCTTGGTTGCTATGGCAACCGCTTACGATTTTCTTTTCGAACACTTAAAGGAAGACCTTCGAATAAAAGCCCTTGGAAAGATTTCAGATGTCACAAAAGAACTTTACGAGAGATCTTTCAAACTCGCTTAGGGAAAGCAATACATACAGAATCATGTTGCTACTAATTACGTTGCATTTTTTACAGGTGCAATAGTGGTTGAACCGCACATCAAAGAAGCGAAAGTTTGGAAAGACAGAGCTAATTTTATGCTGAGGAGAACCATGTTACTTCTTGATCAAATCGTCGATGGGTCTATGGAAGAGGGCGTGGCTTATGGCTCATACACCACGCGATCACTGACCCAGTACATTTTTTTTGGCTAAGAGACATCTCGGAACTGATTTGACAAACAACATCTGGTTGCGAGAACACTTCTGGTTCTTATACCACACAATTCTTCCAAGTTTTACAGAAACTGTTGGTATTGCCGACTCAAACCAAATTTGGTTTTACGGACCCGAAAGCCAGCTTGTTTTCTTAGATAGTCACGTTATGCGAAATGGGTATGGCAACTGGCTTGCCAAAAAAATCCGCATGTTACGTGTTGAGAATTCTGCAATGGAAGGAGCCTTCGCGCAACGTTTTTGCACACTTCACACGGAGTTTATTTTCTATAATGCAAGCATTCTAGAAAAGGAACCTCCTAATGCTTCAACTCCTCAACTTCATGTTTTTGACGACTGGGGTGTTGTGACTTATGGAGGCGGATCTTTGGGAAACGACCGGGAAAAAAATACATTTCTTTCTTTTAAATCAAGCGTTTTGCACGGAAGAACCATAAATGGCATTGTAAGACATACGCAGTATGACTGGATATCAGGATGGCGTAATTTCAACCCAGGACATGAACATCCAGATCAAGGTTCCTTTGTTTTTGTACCTTACGGTGTACCGTTCATTACCGAGGCCCTCTATGGACCCAAATACACATGGCTCAATAACGCTCTGCTATTTGGTCCCACGACGGAACCGACGTGTTCTGGGCCTTTTGAAGGACAAATTGGCGACTGTAGCAAATGGTTGGCTTTCAAAAACGATGCAATCTGGTTCGCTGATGCGGAAATTGTTGCTGCCTCGAATGCCAAAGAAATAGTTTTTATTAGTGGCGAGTTTAGTGGTTGGTACAGATCTGAGTTGGCTCTCTCAAGTGTGTATAGATCTATAATCGTCTTAAATCCTGGAGTTCTTTTGGTCATTGATCATATTGAGAAAACGTGGAATAGCTCAACTCGATACGCAGGGGCCTTTTTCCATAATCGACACTCTTCTTTTGAGGTGCAAGAAGACCAAACTGGAGATCAGTTAGCTTCGATAATGTTAAACAACAAGACTCATCTGGTTTTTTGGACGAACGCTCATCAAGGGCAAAGCACCGTTCAATCACAAACCAACGAATGGGGGGCAGAAGTCGGTAAAAGGAAAACTCACTTCCTCAATATTACAACTAACTTAGCTGAGAGAAGGACGAGAATGGCATATCTGTTTGTCGCTCCTGGGAATTTGGCAACCAAACCGAAATTGCAGGGAAATAACATCGGAGCTAAGGCCGTTGTAGAAATTAATGGGATCTCGTATACTGTATCAATCTCTACAGTCTTTCAAAAAAGCTGTGAATTTCTAGGCTACGACGGTATTGCAAGAGTCGACGTGGGAAATAAGTCTCCAATTATTTTTAAAAGAAGAAAACATCTGCATTTTTCTGTCTTCGGAGAAAATTCTTGTAGGGCAAATGTTTCAACAAAGATGAGTTTTATCATTTTGTTTATATGGTCATTAGCGATTGTTATATTACTGTTAGTGTTCATAAAAAGTGCCCGCCGGCGGGTATTTAAATGCAACAAGCGCATATGTGGTCCACTGTTTATTTTTGGCATGATATTTATGTGGATTTTTATAACATGATAGGCACAGATGCATTTTTCCAAACATTGTTCAACTACGTTTGATGTCCAAAGACACTGCAAATCCATATATACTTTCGGTAAACGAGTCTGTGTCGTTCGTGTTTGGTGTTTTGTGTTAAGTACTAAACGTTGTTGACAAATGTGAACGAACGTTTCTTTAATTTCGTGTTAATATAGTGGTCAATTCTTCTCTGTACTTTTAGGTGTTAAGCCGTCATGTAGTCATACATATAGTGTTTGTCGCCCTGGAGGAATTGCCAACTCTCCGTCAAAACCAAGAAATGACAACGTTGTTATCGAGTTTCCAGCACGAGATCAGCAAAGAAGAGAACAGATGACGTCACAACACCTCAGAGGACATAAAGTCCTCTTGAAAAACTAAATTTGTGAAATTAAGGGATTAGTTAGCATATCCAGAAAGAACAAGATGAAAAATGTTCACTTGTAAAAATCAGCCTGTTAGTGCAAATCACACTCACGAATATTGGTGAAGCAACGCTATGCGCTGATGATTCCGAATAAATCATTCTAAAATAGGGCTGGATCGCTAACGTTACGATCCAAGCCAGTTTTAGAAGGAAATGTGTAGAGTCATCAGAACAAACCATTTTTGCAGTAACAGCTAGAGGCTGATTTTTGGTAAGGGGGCTTTTTTCAACTTGTTCTTTCTGAATATGCCATCCAATCCCACAATTTCACAAATTTGACTATGTGACGTCACTCTTCTCTTCTTTACTCATCTCGAAAGTCAAAAGTGTTTTCCAACTGTCTTTTTGTTAGAGAAACTGTACTTCGCTAGCCATTAAATACAGGCAAAGACAAAACACGGACTCACTGGAACCTGTGACCCTCATCGGGTGAATGCCTTCTACCAGGAGCCCATAACCCGGAGCGAGCAACTGCAATACTTGGCACATGTCAGGGAGTTTTTACGGACCTGTTTATTTTTAGACACATTTTAGGGCACTTTTTCCCCCTAAAATAGAATCCCCACCACGTCTGTGAGTGCATTCAAAGTATAAGGCTCGTTTCAAACGTCGTGCTACCGCCGTGCCGAACTCAATTCATAGATTATAAATACATTAGAAATATATTTAAAAGTTTGCTAAACCGTTTCTTTATTTTTGTGTTATGTTTTCGGCAACAGCCGTTCTATTCGACTGAATTAAATTCGACGTCTGAGACCAAGTCGTGCTAGTGTAGTGCTGCGGTCGAGCTACAGTCGAGCAAGCTTAGCACGGCAGTAGCACGACGTTTGAAACACGCATATCAAAAAGGAAAACTAAGCGTTATTAAAAGGCAAGAAATATCATTTTTAGGACTGTAGGTTTTGCTGGCTGGTTTGTGGAATTTAAAAGATATTCAAAATTCGCGCCAAAACCGTTCTTAAAATAGACTGCTCCGTGAAAACGCCATGATACTACCGCATGGAAGTTGCTCGCTCCGGAATGTGGGCGCCTGCTTCTACTGTTTATTTATAAGGCCCCTCCACTCGTATTCGGATATTTTTTAAAACGGACATTTTTTTGCGTCGTTGTAGCTTTCCGTCTACTAGTAAACGGCGTTTTCGGGCACCAAAACGGGCACGTTTTTAAAACGCGGGATCCCAGAGGGGAGATTTTTGAAAACGCCTGCTTCTCGTTCACGTTTAGCCTGAATTTCATCCGATTACTTCGAGTCGTTATTACTCCCTCAGTAACGTCTGAATCGACCGGCCGTTAATGCCGTCCTGTGACGTCACTACTCCTTGATCTTTGCTTTAATTCATGCAAAAAGCAAAACACGATTTTCAAGTGGCAAACCGAGAAATATCGTTTGGAAATGTCTGCAAGATACAGAACTGCTTTATTTTTTTCGATTGTAGTTCATGTTTAACGTTCAAACTATGAACTGCATGCGGTACAACTCTGAACCGGTTGTACTAAATTCTATAATCAAACTCGGTCGCAATCACGCAAGAAATAAAAACACACACGGAACACTTAGTTCAAAACAAAATGATTTGCTTTAATTGAAAATAAGCTACTTGGTCCTTAACGAAGAAAAAAACTAGGAGAAAAGAAAGAAAAGCTAACAGAATCATCACACTTGACGGTAAAAATAGCAAGAAGGTCGAATTATAACATTGATCTCAGAAAACTTCACGTAAACAAAATCACCGGCCGCCGAAACCACAAAGCGGCTCTGAATGAAAACTCACCCACCGAGTCTCCGCGATGATTCTTCATTTGCAGTTCAATTTAACATTTCAGTTTCGAAGACAAGGGCAATTTTGCTGTTTAAGATAAAGATTAAGCTCATAGAAATGTTTGAACTAACCGAAAGAATGCCAGGGATGCGATTCGCTTAATATCAAATGACAATCCCGCTAAAATTTTTCAAAATTATACATAATTATGCGAATATTTAGACAATCAACCAATCAAAATCACTACCCGGTTTTCGGGTAGTGAGTGACGTCACTGGACGGCATTAACGGCCGGTCGATTCAGACGTTGTTGAGAGGAGAAAACGACTCGAAGCAATCGGATGAATTTCAGGCTAATTCACGTTTAGATGAACGAAAACGGAGGTTTTCGTGTACAATGATCTCAGACATCATGTGCTCGTAGCATTACGCATGCTCTGTAGGGGATGCTATCGTATTTCCATCCTTTTATAATTAGGCGTTTTCAAGTGGATACGCAGGTACGCAACATGCGACATATGGAGGCGTATTTTTTTCGAAAATATCCGTTTTCAAAAATATCCGGATTTGAGTGGAAAGGCCTATGGTTTGACCATACACTAAAAGCTGTATTCTAATAACAAGAGTAAGCCTGGACACGAGTGTCAGTAAATCTCACACTTTTCTTTCTATAACTTTTGTAAAACGAATCTAGCGAGTAGAAACTCTTATTAATTTCACGGAGTGATTATATGAACAGACGCAAGTCTATACTACGCGAGATAAGAGGTATTTTAATATGTTAGGCTTAAGTAACTTTCATCTTTATTGCTTTTAAAATACGGGGTGGGAAAAGGCCATTTTTTTTNCAAAATCACCGGCCGCCGAAACCACAAAGCGGCTCTGAATGAAAACTCACCCACCGAGTCTCCGCGATGATTCTTCATTTGCAGTTCAATTTAACATTTCAGTTTCGAAGACAAGGGCAATTTTGCTGTTTAAGATAAAGATTAAGCTCATAGAAATGTTTGAACTAACCGAAAGAATGCCAGGGATGCGATTCGCTTAATATCAAATGACAATCCCGCTAAAATTTTTCAAAATTATACATAATTATGCGAATATTTAGACAATCAACCAATCAAAATCACTACCCGGTTTTCGGGTAGTGAGTGACGTCACTGGACGGCATTAACGGCCGGTCGATTCAGACGTTGTTGAGAGGAGAAAACGACTCGAAGCAATCGGATGAATTTCAGGCTAGTTCACGTTTAGATGAACGAAAACGGAGGTTTTCGTGTACAATGATCTCAGACATCATGTGCTCGTAGCATTACGCATGCTCTGTAGGGGATGCTATCGTATTTCCATCCTTTTATAATTAGGCGTTTTCAAGTGGATACGCAGGTACGCAACATGCGACATATGGAGGCGTATTTTTTTCGAAAATATCCGTTTTCAAAAATATCCGGATTTGAGTGGAAAGGCCTATGGTTTGACCATACACTGAAAGCTGTATTCTAATAACAAGAGTAAGCCTGGACACGAGTGTCAGTAAATCTCACACTTTTCTTTCTATAACTTTTGTAAAACGAATCTAGCGAGTAGAAACTATTATTAATTTCACGGAGTGATTATATGAACAGACGCAAGTCTATACTACGCGAGATAAGAGGTATTTTAATATGTTAGGCTTAAGTAACTTTCTTCTTTATTGCTTTTAAAATACGGGGTGGGAAAAGGCCAATTTTTTTTTTAGGGAAAAACACTGGGGACAAGCCTTGACAAGGCCCCTTGGCAACCTCCCCCTTTTTTTCTTTTCTTTAATATTTCCTCTTTCTTTGATTCTCTTCTATCTCTTTACAACAAAGTAGCAATGGAACAAAAGTATCAATGGCTAAATAGGCTAAGCTCACACGAATTCGTTTCATGCAGTAGCAAAAGTTACTCTAATTACAGTGTCCATTTCATACCATTACAAAAAGAAAAAAAACATCCCGTACAAGGGTAATGTACTACAAAACGCTTGCACAGTCTGTAATGAATAGTGTGCCTGCTTTTGGGTGAAGGCCTCACTGCTCACTACAATACCATAAGTACCATAAGTCTGTAATCATACGGGTGATTAACAAAATCGGACGACCGCGTAGCAGGAGTCCGATTTGTTTAACCACGAATTGGACGACACAAAGTTTTGTTACCAGTTAACCATAACTTTAACTACATTTGTGATGTATAAGGCTTTTTTTACAATCAAAACACAACAAATTCCAAGACTTTGTTTTGCTAGCAGTGAAAAAAAACCCATATTTACGCGAGCGCGTGATGGCGCGTACTGTCTAATTACTTAGGCACGACGCATACTGCCCTGAGAAACTGTCCTATTAAACCAATCAGATTTGAGAATTTTGTTATAGTTATGATTATATTATGAATTACTGGCTTTCACTGTCGCACCATTAAAAACGAAAAAGGAAAACATTCATTGGGTTAAGTCCTGAAACCGGGAATTATATAAGAATTACTGGGTTTCACATGAGCAAAATAAAAAACAGAAAAGGAAAAAGTTGATTGGGTTAAGTCCGGAAACGGGGAAAAAAAAGAGGGTAAAATATGCCAAAAAGCCCGGCACGGTTTGGGTCCCCCTCGGGGTTTTTTTCTTTGATGTGGAAGGGGGGGGGGGGGGACCTGGTCTCCCAAAAAAATATTTTCGGTTTTTCGGGCCTCATTTTGGTCTAAAAATAACGTGGTGGGGATCGAACCCCCGGGCCCCCTTCCCTGGATCCGCCACTAGACTGCTACTATAGTCCCTCAGGATTGTCGCACAGGCG